CATAACAGCAAACAATATATGGCATGAGAAGATCAGTAGCAGCTACGGCTATTTGCTTTGAACCAAAATTCTATGAAACTGAAGATGAAGAATGTGGGTGGACCGAGAGGACAGAGAATAAGGGGACCTGGAGATTATGTAAAATGATTAACAGGAGTAGCAGCATCAAGTTTATGAGAAGCTATTGAGAGCAATGAGAGAAAATTCTGATGTGATTCTTAAGAAGAACTTAACTCAGTTTGAAACTCAAATTGATTGCCATTCTGTTGATTTTGACTCAGGAAGACCCTCATTGGGCTTCTGAATAATTCAATAGTTATAGAAGAAGACTATTTTTTTTTCCCTGCAGAGTGGCTGGTACATTTGAACTGCCAACTTATAGGTTGAGCAGTCAAGTGTGTGATGCATAAAAGCCACCAGGGCTTTTAGGTGAGGTTGGCACATGAGAACACATAGTAAAGTCAAGGAAATCTTTATAAATTCTGGGCTATCAGCACATTATAGTTTTGAGAGTCATGCATAACTTTGCTATCAAAGAGTGTTAATGACGAAGATTTGAAAGCTTTATGCTGGATATTGAGGTCTATATTCTTTCACATTTTGATATCTCTAACAGATTGTTGTTGTTGTTTATTGCCTTCGAGTCAAGCATGATTCATAGAGACCCTGTAAACAAAAGGCTTGAAGCCTTTCTATAACTATTGACATTTCTCGGAGTTCATAGAGTTTCTGGAGGCATCTTAACAGATGGGCTGTGTATTTTAGCATTATCATTGTATTATACCCTATATGTGTTGTTGTTTTATGTACCATTGGGTTGCTTGCGACTTATAGTGACCCTATGTACAAGATCCCTGAACCCTACTCTATCCTGTGCCAATCTCACTGTCTCTGACACACCTACTCCCACTACTCCAATCACTGAATCAATCCATCTCTTCTAGGGTCTTCCTCTCCTCTGCTTTCCCTCCATTCTCCCAAATATGATATCCCTCTCCAAGGACTGGTCCCTCCTTACAACATGCCCAAAGTATGTCAGATAAAGCTTCAGAATCCTTGCCTCCAAGGAGCTGCCTGGCTTCACCCTCTCCAGGACAAACCTGTTAGTTCTCCTATCAGTCCATGGTATATTCAACACTTTTCTCCAGCACCGCAGCTCAAAGGCATCAATTCTCTTTCTATCATCCTTAGTTTTGTCCACCTCTCCGATGCAGAGCACACAATTGTGAAGACTATAGACCGGGTCAGGCACATCTTAGTCTCCAGCCTGACGCCATTGTTTTTCAGTACTCTGGATATGTCTCTGACAGCTAACTTTCCCAATGCAATTTATCTCTTAATTTCCTGGCTGCTGGTACCAAGAGTGTTGACTATGGAGCCAAACAAACTAAAACTTAACTAGCTCAATCTCTTTACCATTCATCCTGATGCTGCTATAAATATATGTCTTGGGGAAAAATGCAGCCAGAGTGCTGCTTGGAAGCAAAGATGGCAAAGCTTCGTCTGTCATAGTTAGAACATATATCTAAATGATGCTGTTTTTGGAAAGGGACATCGTGCTCAGAAAGATGGAGAGTCAGGGAAGGATAGGAAGACCCCCAGTGAGATGGATTGACACAATTATTTTAACAGTGGGCTCTAGTGTGTCAGAGATGATGAGGATGGCATAGGATAGGGCAGGGTTCAGGTTGGCTGTTCATAGGTTCACTATGAGACATACTGACTCAATGGCACCTAACGGCATAACATGTGTATTGTACATTATATTAAACAATATATTGTTCTAGTTAAACTATCTTCTTTAGTAGCTCACTTATTGAAAAGGACAAGATATGTCAAATTGCCTAGCATTATTTTAATTTCTCAGTAAAAAATTTATTTAATGAAGAATTTTTTCTCTTTACAACTTAAGTGTATTTTTGTTGTTTTTGCCTAGATCATTTTTATCTTTACATTTTGTTGTTTCTTCTAATGACAAAATGGGCGACTTACATTCAACATCTTTAATGGCTGAGGTAGGCCTTATATTTTTTTTATAAATTTATTATTGATTTTCTGAAAATAGATGAATGTCCTCTAATTGCAATGTTATTATTTTACACATTCACTTGTTTAGGTGAAATATTTTACTTCATGGTAACAATGGTTAAACCTTCAAAATACAATCAGTGGGTATGGGAAGCCAAACTTTATACCAACTATTATATGAAAACCCTTGTTCAGGAATTGAAGGAATTACAAATTTATAAGTTAGAATTTCTCTTGTGGCAGATCCTAGAAAATGAGCTGTTTGTTCCCTGCAAGACAGGAGACAGCAAGGGGCCCCCTACAGAGGGAGTGTTGCTTCCTGAGCTGGAGTTCACCCTGAGGCATCAAGGTTAATAGTTGGGGGTAAACCAAGTTCTTGCATTTGTGGACCCCTCCTTCCTGAGTCAAGCAGAAGGTTTTCAATAGAAAGAGCTTGGCTTCATTTGCAATGAATTCTCTTTGTGATTTACTTCCTGATAATTTTCAATAAAGACACAGAGAAGCTTGGCTTGGGGTCTTCAGTTGAGAACTGCTGGCCTCCTGTTTTATGCTCTCTGCTCTATCACATTCCTGGCTGTTTGTCTCTTTATTAATAATTATAAAATATTCCATTCTTTGGGACCCTCGGTCTGCAACAAGTGGGTATGGAAAGAGAAATAAACTTCTACATTCAATAACCTAGAATCGTATATTTTTCTACTTGACACAAATTTGTGGGCTGGTTGTTAATCAGACATAGTGAAGTACTAAGGTGGCTAAAGTAATAAAAAGAAATATAAATGGAGATCTTAATTTAAAATTCATTATCCTTTTTGTTGTTGTTATCTGCATTGTTATTTTTTTCAGGTGGATTGTAATTATCAAGGATATGTTGCTGGTTTTCCAAATTCCCGTGTGGTACTCAACATTTGTTCTGGACTCAGGTTGTAGCCTCTGTAACAGTATTTAATTTTTCATCATTAGATCTACTAGTCTATATATTAATCTGTATTTTCATTTGTATTTTTTTTCTGATTTTATAGTTATTATTTTAGTTACATAAGAACTAGAATTACCAATAAAATGGGTTTGAATAAGGATGACGGGTGAAGACTTGATAATCTTTTATTGTAGTGTTGGAAAAAAGTGTTGAATAGCTCATGGACTGCCAAAACAACAAACCTGTTTTGGAGGAAGTGCAACCAGGGAGCTCTTTAGAGGCAAAGATGGTGAAACTTTGTTACACACACTTTGGACATGTTGTCAGAAGGGGCTAGTCCTTAGGAAAAAAGATATCATGCTGGGAAAGGTGGACAGTCAAAGAAAGAAATGAAGATCCTCACAGAACGGATTGACATAATGATTATAACAGTGGGATTCACCATATCAGAGAGTGGAACAAGCTGGTTCCACTCCAGGTTCATGGAGTCACTGTAAGTCATTGTCAATTTGATGGCCCTTACAGTATATGCTTCAGGTGAGAGGTATTTGTTTGCACTGACAGAACCTGCTCCTTGAGGCTTTGAGCAGTTGCCAATTGATGGTGAGTTTTTGATCACTCCATACTTGTTTCATTTTATAAGATTCTTTTATTTTTGTTCAATTTCTTGATTTTCTGGTATGACTGGCAATTGCACACTTCTTGAGTCTGACTGGTACTTTTTGATTGGTATTTAGACTTTTGAGGACTTATGCTGTTGTTACATTGTGTCTAGTCAGGACCAACTTAAGCTGATCTTCTGGAGGTTTTCAGGTCTAAGATTGTTCATCTTTATCCCACAGAGCAGCTGGTGGATTTAAACCCACATATTTTGGGTTAACAGTGACACTGCTTATACTGTTGTTGTTATTGATTGCTGTCAAGTTGAGCATGACTCATAGTGACCCTATGAACAAAAGACCCGAAGCTTTTCTATAACTATCATTGTTTCTCTAAGTTCATAGAGTTTCCAGAGGCATGTTGTTTAGGAAATGGAAACCCCTCCTGCTTCTAAACCTGTCTTAATATGGGAGCTCCACCAAATACTATCCACCATGAGTAATTATTATGGCATTTGACACTTCAGTGGCACAATTTTCAGCATCACATCAACCCCGGGTTACCTCAGTATAGCAAATTTACAGACAAGTACTGTACCATCAGAAGAATGTTCCTCCAAAATATGGGCTTGAGGGCCATGAGGGCCAAACTGACTTTTAACTACAAAGGCCCTCCAAAGAGGTGGTGTTGACTCTAAACAAGAGTCTATTTAAATAAATAGAAACAACTAAACATTGCACACTGACCAAGCAAACAAGACTAAATCACAAGCATAGGCTACCCCAAAGTGAATATATTGTTGTTATTGTTATGTGCCATTGAGTCACTTGTGACTCATAGTGACCCTGCGTACAAGAGCTCTAAACACCGCTCTATCCTGTGCCAACCTCACTGTCTCAGACACACTCTTTCCCACCACTCCACTCACAGAATCGATCCATTTCATCGAAGGTCTTCCTCTCCTTCGCTGCCCCTCCACTCTGCCAAACATGATGTCCCTCTCCAAGGACCAGTCCTCCCTTCCTCAATTCAGCCCACATGGATAAATTACTTATATTTAATGTAAATGGTAGAAGAGAGTCACTTTTCAAAGAGAAAAAAGGGGCCTAAGGAACTGAGCTATAGGCATAAGCAGAAAAATCTCCACACTCGAAGGGATCTTACCTCTTTAAACATATCATTATCCAGCTTTTTATAAAACAAATAAGATATTTCTTTTAGAATATTTGTAATATAAGTCAATGTAAGCATCTTGCAATATAGTGTTCAATTTAGGATGATAGAAATAAGGTAACAAAATCAAGTTATCTTTAAAATAAAAAAAATTTGGGCCACATTTTTTTATTAGAATATTAAATGATGATTTCAATAGAATTATTTCAGGTTTGTTTTAACTATTTTGATATTTAGGGGAATATTGCAGTTTAAAAACTTCTCATATGGAATTGAACCAATGGAAGCTATATCAGGATTTGTGCATATGATTTATGAAGATATAAAGGATAACATTACTATTCCTCCCTTAAGAATGAATGAAACTTTGTTTTGGTCCGATGTTTTATACAGCAAATACAGAAAAACTCTAAAAGTAAGTGTTATAATTTGTATTTTTACTTACTACATTGGAATTTATTCACTACAACTTTGTGAGATGAATACTTTCAGAGTAATCTGAATTTTTTTTCCTTTTTCATGAAGTTCCTGTTTAACTCTTTAGAAAGTAAGGGGATAAATTTGAGATCTTCATAAAGTTTGTCATTTGATCAAAGTTTTTAAAAAATTAAGGTAATTAGTACTAGAGACAATATATTCATGAACATGGGATTAAAAGAAATCAACAAATTTTAAATGTGTGATTTTGTTATACCATGGACTGCTGAGAAAACGAACAGGTTTGTCCTGAAGAGGGTGAAGGGAGGCTGTTCCTTAGAGACAAGGATTTAGAAGCTTCGTCTGACATACTTTAGACGTGTTGCAAGGAGGGACCAGTCCTTGGAGAGGGACGTCATGCTTGGGAGGGTGGAAGAACAGCACAGGAGAGGAAGACCTTCGATGAGATAGTTTGATTCAGTGACTGGGGTAATGGAGTTTATGTGTGTCAGGAACAGTGAGATTGACACAGGAAAGGGCTGGGTTTAGGTCTGTTGTACATAGGGTCACTATGAGTCTCAGGTGACTCGACGGCACATAACAACAACAACATATATAATTTAAGTGAAAATATGTGATTTGAATGTCTCACTTAAGATTGTGTTTTAAGAGTTCCAAAATGGATGATATAAATGGTTTATATGAGATTTATGTAAGGCAATGTTATGAATTCATTCCCCTTGGTACTGCAAATAGTCATAAATAACACAACTCACTCTACTGAACGGTTGTTGAACATAAACTTTGCAAGTATTTTTCTTCGTTACTTTGTTTGCCTAAATTGTCTTTGTACAAGTAACTGGCAGCAAAAAAATCTACCCATTACTATGAACATTATTAATAGTGTGAAAGCTAGAAAAAGAAAATCTTCATGCTATAACTTACTATTTCCAGTTTGGGCTATTATTAACCTCCAATGATAGTTAGGTTTTGATATAGATGGAGAAGTCTCATTGAAACTTTTTACTAATAAGGGGTGTTTCTGAACTAGTCTTCTATAGAGTGCCTTATTTTGTATTTTAAAATGATTGCATTATAATTAGTAGAAACACATGCTTGTTTCTGAATATGGTTTCAGTAGAAGATAATTTTCTGGAAATTCTCAGGACTTGTGCTGTGTATTTTGCAGAGACTTGAATCTTTCAAGATAATACCTCAATATTTTGAAATGCGTATTATTGTGGATAAAAATTTCGTAAGTCCTCTCTTATGCATTGTTATTTGTAAATACTTTTGTTAATTTTATTAGTTTCCTGTGTAGAGTCTCTCATAAAGTGAATTTTTTAAATTTTATAATTGAAGGACCAGATCTAGTATCAAGATGGATTAAAAATCCTCTAAACCCAACCTCTCTGTCAAACCAAGGAATAAAATAGTAATTATTAACTGATTCTCAGCCTTATTGAATGGTGAATTATAAAACAAATAATGTCATTTCTTTCAAGCAAAGAATAAAAAAGTTAACTTATGTTTTCTTCTCAGGAATATAATAACATAACATAATATTAAGTAATATATTCATAAAATGCATGGCATTGTTTGGATAAAAACCCAAAATCATTAGCCTTTTGCTGTGTTTTAAAAAGTACTTGAAAAAATTAATCTCAGTTTTTATAAAAGTTTTAGTAAGTAGATATTCTTCCCCACGCTCTACAGCGTTTATCTTAAAATGTAAACTACCTAGTGATGAAGCATTTGGAAGTTAGTTTCCTTTCAGAACTGAGATAGAAGCAAAGTGCCCCATACTTGGTATCACCATTGCTATTTAGTTTTGTTCTGAATTTTTTAATTTCTCCTTACCGCTAAGCCACCAGAGTTCCCTTTATCTGTGTCTTAGTGGTTAGGAGTTGCACTGCCAACCCAAAGGCACATGGTTTGAATAATCAGCTGCTCCACAGGAGAAAGATGTGCAATCTCCTCCCATGTCTCTGAAAACTTCCTGGATGGTCAACTTTGAGTCAGTTTCAACTTGCTGATACATAACAATTACAGCATATTCTTCTAGTCGTTTAAGAAGCAAAAATTTTTTTTTCCAGTTTGAGTACATGGGCTCTGACATTCAGATTGTAACACAGAAGGTGATTCTGATTATTGGCCTTGTTAACGCTGTAAGTATTTTTTAAAATTTGTTTACATATCTTATTGAAATATTTTTAATATGGAATTATATGTATAGTATTTTGCTGAGTTGTTAAAGAGATTTTATAATCTGAGTCCCAAATTAAATACCTTAGATACATTTTTTCTTAAGAGTTTAATATTATGTTCATATTTATTTAAAAAGTTTTCCTTTTTCTCCCCTCTCAGATGCTATACCAGCTAAAACTCACTGTTGTAATAACTTCCATAGAAATTTGGTCCAATGGAAACAAAATTTCTACTATGGGACATCCTGATCGTATATTATATAGGCTGCTAGACTGGGATCCAAAACCTCATTTAATTTTACCACATCATATTACATACTTGTTTGTGTAAGTATAGTGTTCTGTACTTGTGTAGCATTAAAAGAATAATCCAAAATGACTTAGTATGTTAATTATTTAAAACAACCATTTACTACTGCAATAATGAATGAATACTGAAAAAAATGAACTGAGGGATGGGGAAGGAAAGGTGAAGGGGTAAAATGTGCAACAAGAAATATAACTTATTGTTATTATATAATAAATACAACTTTTCTGTAAACTTTGATTAAAATCACACTTAAAATAAAAAAATGTATTAAAAACCTCAAAATCCACCATTTGATTGACATACATGGTGTTCTTACAACTTTGGTGGACACAATGAAATATCCTTTTCTTTAGGAGTTAATGTGAGGCAAGAGTTACAAATTTGAGCCTAAGTAAAATGACATAAAAAGTAGTGAAATAACTAAGGAAGTTTGGTTGTGAGTAGTAGATTTATTTTTTCTTGACTTAAAAACTTTTCATACCTGTCACTCTATTTGCACATACTTGTCTTTCATCCAGTTGGGTTTTTTTTTCATTTCTAGTAAAATTAACATACTGAATGGTCAGAGTAGAATCTGATGCTCAGAAAAATCTATCTTTAGTGAAGAAATAAAGAAGTGAGCCATAGGGCTGTAAACAGAACTAGAATGACAATCAGTACAATAAGTGCAGTAATGTTTTGCATAAAATGTTGAGTTTTACCCTGATTACATTTCTAAATGTTCATAAAATTTAGAATTGACAATTGGATATCAAAATATTCTTAACATTAAAACTTTTAGTAAAATGAAATTTAAATAGATTAATTCACATTAGCATGGTGCTTCTCAAAATCTACCAAGCTAACCCTCTAGCTAACACTCCCTTGGATTTTCAAACAGGTAAATTGTAGGATTATAAAATGATAATTGTTCAAGAAATGCTTTCTGTTAATGAACCCTGTTGGCCTAACAGTAAGAAGTTGTGCTGCCAACCCAAAACCATGCTGTTTAAAACTATTAGGTGTTCACTGGGAGAAATATGGGCAGTCTCCTCCCATGAAACTTATGGTCTCTGAAAACTGGAGGGTCAGCTATGAGTCCATTCCAAATTGATGGTATACAACAACAGTTGTTCAATAATGTTTGCTGTTAATGAAAACTATTGTTCATGATACCATTCTAACCTACACTTATAAGGAAAATTATTTTCTTTTCTAGCTTTAGGAAGAATCCTATTTCTTTAGGAAGCGTACTTCCTGGGGAATTTTGTAGCGGAAGTTATGCCAAAGGAGTTGCTTTGGTACGTAATTTTTATTGTTTGTTTTTATAATGTTCACACTTTAAATGTGCATTTGTTTTATAAAGCATGGATAAATTAAAAATTAATTTTATAAAGCATGGATAAATATATTACATACTTAATGTTCCTCTTACAGTATTTATGTTACTAATTTGAAGCATGAAACTAACATCATGTATTATTTTATGCTGATGTATTTGCTACTGTCCTTAGAAGGGGAAATAGAATCAGGATATTAAGAAAAATTTTCATTATCACATAGGTTACTGAGAAAGAGTTATGATGTAAATGTGATGCTTGTACTTGCTTTTAATGGTAAATTGAGAGTAACTAGTGTTCTGCTTGGAAATAATGTCTCTTAAGTTATCAGTCAATGATTTAAGTGTACCTCAAATGATTAAACTTTAGTTTTATGATGTGTTTCCCCTGTGCTCACGTACAAATTATTAAAAAAAAAAGACAAATTTTCTTACATTCCAATTTACTGTGAAAATATTCTAATTTATGGATAAGTATTTTTAAATATTTTCACAAACAAAAACTGAAAAAGTGTCGTTTGGACAAAATACCTCTCATTCCCTAACTCTCTCTCTCATTGTTCAGGATATTCTTCTATTCTTTACGGAAACTGCTATTGGTCTTAGAATTAATAATGCACCTCCACTTTTTATAAATAACTTCTCGAGTTACTGTGCAATTACCTTGTCTATATTCTGGAGACTTTGTTGATTTTATCTTTTTTTAAAAAAAATTATCGTTTTCCTTGATTGCTTTCTATTTTATAATTTTTTGTTTACAAAGAAAATTGAATTTTCATGTAATTATTCATACATATTTTTACAAAATCAATTACAATGTCATGATGTAATCAGACTTTTTTTTTGTTTAATTCAGTGCAGCTTTTACTTTTTTTTTTTTTTTACGCTTAACTCTACCACCCATTCGGATATTATTTTTATGTATGGAGTGAAGAAGAGCCCTTAACTGACTTTTCCCCATATATACATCCAATTGATCTGGTACTGTTATTGAAAATATTATTCTTATGTATAGCACTTATCTTTGTAATGTTGTTGTTGTTATGTGCCGTCAAGTCGTTTTCGACTCATAGCGACCCTATGCACAACAGCCCTAAACCCTGCTCTATCCTGCGCCAACCACACTGCC